GTTGCCGTGTCGGGTATCACGTGTTTAACTCTGCGATAAGTGTGGAATTAGGCGAATTGAAGTTAGTTAAATGTACAATGAAGCTAAGAGACTGAATAGTGACAGTGAAGAAAGAAGTGGTCCGGCGCTGAAGCAGTCTGGAGCGATTCAGTATTTTGAAGCAGCCTGGAACTCGGCCACACAGTCACACATCACTGTACACGACTCGCTATCTACCATTACACACACTCACGGCCTGCCCAAGCCTTGGAGCGAAGTTAGCTCCTGATACAGGTAAGTACTTTTGCTTTCTAGTTTGCTCCCATATAGTTTATTGTGATAGAACATATTCCACGTGGCCATATTGAGGCCCGACCTGCGTCTGCCCGTCGAAGAAGCTGCTATGGGCCCCAGCCATGACGACTTTGCAAGGGCAGCTGTAGGCCGTAACAATAACTTTTAACAAAAAGTAAATACCGACTTTAAATTGCTATAAAATAAGTTTTAAAAACAACAATAATTTATTTACTACTATTAGGGGTCGATTTTTTTTCCAAATTTACATAGGACCACCCTTGACGTATAACCAATTTAATAAAAATAAAAGAATCATTAAAATCGGTTCTCTATCTGCGTAGATATCATATGAAATTCCTAAAACAATAGTTAAATATGCAACTTTTTCCCCTATTTTCCAACCTTGGGGACGGAATTTTGTCTTCAAAATCTAATAGGACTACCCTTTGGTAAAGCCTATTTAATAAAAAAGTAATACGGACGGCTCCGTGGCGCAGTGGCTTAGCAATCAGTTGTTGCGCTGGGGGCCGCGGGTTCGAATCCCGCACGGAACAAGTATTTGTATGGCCTACAAATAATTGTTCCGGGTCTGGATGTTTGTCCTTGTGCAATTTATGTTTGTAAACTGCCTACACGACACAGGAGAAAATCCTAGTGTGTGGGTAACGTTTTTAATAAAAAAAGAAACAAAGAAATAATTAAAAACAGTTTAGAATCTGCGAAAACATCGCGTATCACACATGCCAAAAAAACATAAACTTGAATTGAGAACCTTTTGCTCTTTGAAGTCGGTTAAAAATCTATAAAAGTTCCCGAATGAAATGTAGACATGGCTTAAAAGACAAATATCGAAGCCAAACATTTTAATAAAATAAGGATAGGGATGGGCAAGGGAAAAATATATCGATATATATCGAATCAATATTTTTAACCGGATCGACATAGATATATCGATCCTGTTTAAAAATATCGCGTGATAAATACCGATATATCGATATATCGTCATCAATTTCATGATGTAAAGATAAGGTCCAAAATTTTATATTACCGACGGTTGGATGATAAAAAAAAACAACAACCAACCACTCATGAATACTTTTGTACCTCCTTTTGATGTTACATGTTTTGCAAATTTGTCATTAATACAACATTTTAAAATATATCGAAATTGATACGAATTCGAAACTCCTAAATATATATCGATATTTCGATTAATCGAAATTTTTCTCAAGCCTAGCGGCGGCATTTTATAGTACATAAATACTAGGACTAGGAGTAATAGGGATGGGCAAAGGGAAAAAAATATATCGAATCTATATTTTTAAACAGTATCGATATATATCGCGTGATAAATATCGATATATCGTAATCATTTGAATGATGTAAAGATAAGGTACAAAATTTTATCTACTGACGGTTGGACGACGAAATAAACGATACAACATTTTAAAATATATCGAAATTGATACGAATTCGATACTCTTAAATAAATATCGATATGTCGATACATCGCGATTTAAAATATCGACGATATATTTCGATATATCGATATTTTTTACGCATGCCTAAGGCCCTAAGGAGTAATAGTGTTCTCAAGGAACCTGTATAGGACAGTTACTATATTCCACAGAGTACTTTTTATATACTGAAACTATACTCTTTGCAAGGAACATACTACTCTCCACAGAGTACTTTACTACTCTCTAACGAGAGGTTCTGTATTTCTATATAGTTTGTGGGTTCTGTGATAAATATTACAACCTCTTTTTATTGACATTTTAATTTGTGGTTGTGCATTTCAGCTTAATTTTATGAATTTGAATATATAACTGTAGAAAGTAAATACTACGATAATATAAAATAAAAAGGTACGACTTTCCATTGACGTCAGTGGAGTTTGGTGTTGATACGTATTTTTACAGAAAGATTACACTATTATAAGCACACACACAAAGTCTCAATATACGGAAACGCGTAATTTTTGAGAAAAGAATAATTGAAAATCAATTATTCTTGCAATGTTTGTCTAATCTGCTAATAAACTGGCGCCATTTTGTAATGCCATTGTCGACGTCAATAGGGATGTCGATTCTTTCCGAAAAAGGTCGATTTTTAAATCGATTCAAATCGTAAGCTGATGTATCGATTCCCAAAAAATCGATTTCTAAAATATCGATATTTTGTTCATGTTTGCATTTATAATTTATAATGTAAATATAAATCCATTTTATGAGAAAAAAATCCCCTTCATCATAAAAAAATAAGGGGACTGATTCATAAGGATTTCTGTATCTATTTTGAGACTGCTACGTCTCCGCCGCTGCGGGAAGAGCAACCTCTACGCCTTAGCGTAACAAATCGCACGCATCCCTCCTCGCCTTCGCAGCTTCGGCTTGTTGGTCGCCTTCGGCGACCAGCCTCAGCCGCTCCGGTTCATCCGATGCCTACGATTTGTTACAGCAGGCGGAGGCTGCTCCCCCTACGCGTCTCCGGCTCTATAAAACCACTCTAGGGGTAGGACAAACTCGTACCAGGTGGAGTCAGGGTCAATCAATTCGGTTCTTTGACATAAGTTGAACCTAACCTATTTTATTTGTTATCTGCCCTAATAGGTACTGTTAAATAAAACAAATTTCAATAAGAGATCATTTATCATGGTATCTTTCTTGTTTTTCATAAAATGGGTTTATATTTACATTATAAATAGAAACATTAAAAATATATAGATATTTTAGAAATCGATTTTTTGTGAACCGATACATCAGCTTACGATTTGAATCGATTTAAAAATCGACCATTTTCGGAAAGAATCGACATCCCTATTGACGTCGACAATGACATTACAAAATGGCGCCAGTTTATTAGCAGATTAGACATAAACATTGCAAGAATAATTGATTTTCAATTATTTTTTCTCAAAAATTACGCGTTTCCGTATATTGAGACTTTGTGTGTGTGCTTATAATAGTGTAATCTTTCTGTAATAATACGTATCAACACCAAACTCCACTGACGTCAATGGAAAGTCGTACCAATAAAAATCTTAATTAACCACTCAAGACTTTGACAGTTCATAAAACCAATTAGTCAGACCTATGGTCAAGCCAAAGACAATATCTATTTTTATAAAGTGAGCGCTAGGGTAACGAAGATTGCAATACGTTGTCGATAAATAAAATGTTTTGAGAAATTACCAATTCAACACTTAAAATATCGAATTGTTTGTATGAAAGTCAAGTGAGCGCTAGTCACGACGATTGCATAGACGTCTATAAGTGAAATGTTTTCAGAAATTTTCAATCACCGTTTCATTACACGGTTCTCAAAACATTGCAGTGTACGAATATCCATATCATGCCGTGTGTCGTAAAAGGCGACTAGACTTGGGGAAGTGTTATTTTTAATAACTATGACCGACGTTATAGGTCTATAAAAACAACAGTGAAAAATCACTTACTTTGTTACGTCGATTACTTATTAGAAATTGACATAAACGTTATTTTTCACTGTGATGTTAGTTGTCAGTTATGATTAATAAGGGACAGAGTGAAACAAATTAGGATACGGGCAGCAGTGTCCACTCTCTAGTCCAGCGGTCGGCAACGCGCGGCCCGCGGGCCGCATGCGGCCCGCGGACGTTCTACTTGCGGCCCGTGAATGTTATGTAAATAAATCCTAATAATATCAAAATAGATGCATAAACGAACCACAAACATATAGCGTATAGCTATAGTCAATATTGTATAACGCGCTTCGCTCTGCCCGCGGATGAAATGTGCATATATCAGAGATTAGTTTTTTTTTTACCTTGAAGCCTGACATTTAGCGTATTTAACATAACTGTAACATTAAAAGTATTATGTTGTAGCAAACATTATAAGTGTAAAATAAATAGGAATCTCGGACTATCTGTCCGCCGCGCGCGAACCCCGCACAACCGTATAGTAGTGTGGAACTCGCTTCGCTTGGCTCGCGAAGTATATATAAAAGTACTCTGTGCTCGCGAATGAACAATAATTAATGAACGACGCGCGGGAGGGGCGCGGGCGGAACAAACGAACGTTAGCGAGGACAGTTGCTTTCCGCTCTCCGTCAATTACCTACTTTGATGCGTGATTAGTGAAACAATTTCATTTGTTGCGTTTTTGTTTTGATTTCGGTAAGTGTGAGATTACTTTTTATTATACACTTTTGATAGGTACCGATCTACGTAAGCTTGGTCTGGTAATAATGCTTTTATTGTTACAGTTGATAATGGCTTCTAAAAAAAGGAAGTTAGCAGAAGAAAATAGGGTATTTAACGATGCATGGACAGATTTATACTTTTTTATTAATTGCAATGGCAAACCGCTATGCTTAATATGCCAAAAAACCCTTACTATACAAAAAGAATATAATGTCAAACGCCACTATGATAGCGAGCATAAAGCTAAATTTGCATGCGTAGTGGGTGAATCACGAAAAAATAAAATTAACGCACTGAAATCTTCAGTTAAGAATCAACAAAATGTTTTTAAGGTTCAAGTACAAAGTAACGAGTCGAATATACGTGCAAGTTTAAGGGTAGCGGAAATTCTTGCGAAGTCTGGCCGACCATTTACCGACAGCGAACTTATAAAACAATGTGCTTTAGTCATGGCTAGGATGAGGTGTGCCCCGACCTAAAAAAAAAATTTGAAAATATAAGTCTTTCTGCAAGAACGTGTACCCGGCGAACTGAAGATTTGGGCGATAATTTATGTCAGCAACTTCGGGAAAAAGCACAACAATTTGAATGGTTCTCTTTAGCTACCGATGAAAGTAATGATGTTACTGATACTGCCCAGCTTTTAATATTTGTTCGCGGAATCGATAAGAACTTTAATGTCTATGAGGAGCTTTTACATTTATGTAGTTTGAAGGGCACGACTACCGGAGAAGATTTGTTTTGTAACTTAGAACAAGCGCTAGTATCAATGCAATTACCATGGGAAAAATTGGTAAGTGTTACAACTGACGGAGGCAGGAACATGAGTGGACAAAATAAGGGTTTGGTAGGTAGAATCAAATCGAAACTGGCAGAGATAGGATGTGCCATCCCATTATTTTTCCATTGCATCATCCACCAAGAAGCGTTATGTTCCAAGGTCGTATCATGGAAAGAAGTAATGGACATCGTGGTATCGACTGTAAACTACATCAGAAAAAATGGATTGACTCATCGTCAATTTCAACAGTTTCTGTCAGATACGGAAGCAAATCATCGAGATGTTGTTTATTATTCTGAAGTGCGATGGTTAAGTAGAGGCGCAGTGCTAAAAAGATTTTTTGATCTCAGAAAAGAAATCAATACTTTTATGAATGAAAAAGGCAAATCTATTCCAGAGCTGACAGACACTCAATGGTTAATAGACCTTGGATTTTTGACAGATGTAACTCATGAATTAAATACGCTAAATGTGAGGCTTCAAGGTAAAAAAAAACTAATTTCTGATATGTACACAGACGTAAAAGCATTTCAAATGAAAATTAAACTTTTTATAAAACATATTGACGAAAAAAAGTTGGATCATTTTCCGAATTGTAAAGAGGCTGTTGAGGAAGCTGGAATTAATTTTCATTGGAAAATTGATAAAATGAAGGATATTTTAATACAACTGCAATCTCAATTCAGCGACAGATTTGGTGATTTTGAAAAAGTTTCAAGTAAACTGAAGGTGTTTGCAAACCCTTTTTCATGTGATATTGAGGAAGTACCGAGTAATTTACAAATGAACATGATTGATCTCCAGTCTAATAATGTTCTTAAAAGCACTTTCTATGAACTCAAAGATCTTGTTAAGTTTTATGGTAGCTTGCCTTCTGATTTTGACGAATTGAAAAAGTTTGCTCAGCAGTTCATTACAATTTTTAGTAGCACTTATTTATGCGAACAAACTTTTTCAATTGTCAATTACAGAAAAAATAAATGTGCATCTCGTCTCACAGATGAGCATTTGAGAGCCATTCTACGAATTGCAACTACAAATATGACAGCTAACATACAAGAAATAGCCTCCCAAATACAACCTCAGACATCACACTGAAAGTATATTAGTAATTTTGTAGTTTTAATTTCTATTTTAATTCCGTTATTTTCTAGCTATAAACGTAATGTAATTACATGTACGAATTAAATTCCGTATGTTTTAACAATTTGAATGGCATTTTCATTTTTTCTATGGGATTTGATGAATAAATAAGTGTGTAAATCACAAGTGCGGCCCGCCTTTAGTTTATTTTGCCACCTAGTGGCCCTTGCCCGCCAAAAGGTTGCCGACCGCTGCTCTAGTCTAATATGGACAAAATAAGTGAGGACCTGCGATCGCTAAGTTGTCTCAATAATTATTATAAATATTACAAATATAAATTATTATTGATTTTTTTTTATTTATAATATTTTACCATTTTTTAATGTTTCTTTTTGTCAAAAATTACTTCGTAGACACTATTTACCAACGGCAGCGCGGCTATAAATTCTACAAATTTTCAGGGACAGGCGGGCTATGCTTTAGCACGTATCGATCGTTCTCCTGTTCCCTAACTTCCATGCTATGATCTATAGTGGACTTTACTAGGCTCTATTAGGAAAAGTAGGAGGAAAAAGTCCGTACATGTTTTTAAATTTAATCTCGTCATTTGCTCATGAGCTCCTCTGTATTTCCATGACCCATGGCCAGAAGTAGATTGTTACGACCTTATGAAAAAGAAAAAAAATGTAAGGAAACTGAAAGGAAAGAGAGGGGAGTAATTTTATTATTTGAAAAATATTTCTATGTAAAAAAACTCATCAAACAACAAGATGAAATAATTTATTAAACAAGTTGCATAAACAAGTCCAATGGTTAAAACAATGATAAATAATAAAATCTAGTTTACTGAAAAGAAAAAAATTCAAATATTATGTCACTTCCACAACTAAGGCAAATCTAACGACGCCCCATATATTAAAAAATCCATCAAGCAATTTAGGTTACAGAGCGTGTCAAAGAAAAAGACATCCATACGTGCATACTCAAAAAACATTACCCTTCTTTTGAAGTAGCCAAGTAAAGAAAAAAGGTTATACTATAAAAAAAACAAAACATGCGGTAACAGATCAACCACTCAACTATGGAGTGTAAAAGTAAGGAGTACCAACTCCCATACGAGAATAGTTAAAAAAGTGTCCATCTGTAAGCAGTAAATAACAGTTAGTTCAAAAACTCTCCACTACAGCGCTCGAGTAGCTACGGGGTATGTTAAATCGCCGTAAAATACGTTGAGTGATTTTGAAAATAAAAATTTTGAAAGCAATAAAATAATTATTGTAAAAAGAATTATGGTGAGTTTGTGCAATAAAAAAATTTATAAGAAGTTCTTTAAAATTTAGACTGTAGCTACAGTGGCGCCACCCTTATTTAACGCCTTCCTACGGACACTTTTATACAGAGTCTGTACTCCTTACCTCTACACTCCATACCTCTTGATAGAGAGTAATTGTGTTCTGTGCTCCATACGCTCAACAGTCAAAACATCCATCCCCGCTGTCAAATATCTGTTGTCAGTAACTGTCAAAGTCATCCATTACGGCGATTCAATTCATACCATTGTTTTACTTTATTTTTTCATTATTTTTGTTTACTATTATACTTCCCTTTTAGCATTAATGTTATAATAATATATAAATTTAGATGAGAAAAACATATTTATTATATTTTATTGTTTAAACCATAATATTATACCCACATATTACATAGAATATGGTGAAACGGAAGATCTTTTGACAGTGCAGCGCTGAGTTATTATGGACTGATCGCGAACATCTATTGTTAGGTAACCTAAGGTATTCATTAAATTGTATTCTTCATCTCGTACACACCCTCTCACATACGACATTTTACATATTTTTTTTTCTTTCTATTTACATTTTTTATAACCCACATGTAATATAAAAAATAAAGTTAGGTAATTTTTCCATAATATAAATAGGTAATCTATGTTTATTATGTCCGGGGAGTGGCACCATATGCTGAAATACAGGTTCTGGCCTAGTTCGGCAATGGATGCTATTTTTCATGTTATAAGATAAAATATTCCTGTGTAGTTTATAAATAGACATATCGTTAAATAATATATATGGTAATAAAGATTATTATAATCATAGGAATGATGCAATTTTGAAAGATACTGTTGAGAGGTCAAGAATATCCACTAGCACAGTTTCGTCTCGTTTCGTGGGTGCCGTAAGAGGCGTCGGAGGAAAACTGAAACAGGAAATGGGCAGCAGCATCTTCTTAATAATAACTAAAAATTACAGGTTTTTTATAACCAACGATAAAACACAATGACTTTCAATAAGTGTTATTCGTATTGAATAAAAAATATTGTATTCTATTTATTCAAAAAAATTAAATACAAAATATTATTAATATTATATGACACGATGAGGAGTCGGAGACGCGAGCACCGCGGGCGCGGCACCCGCGCCGCCCGCAGCGGCCGCCTCGCGCCTGACGCCCGCCTGCTGCTGCCGTCACTGGGAACCACACGCCTCGCACAGCACCACCACTCGAACTCGCCACCACCTCCTCATGATATACTTCCGCCAACAAGTACTCATTGCCGTTCTCCTCATCTAACCGCTCAACGACAACGACCACTTCTGGACGAACATTTCGCCTGCAAGACAAATATGAAAATTACATAACATAATTTAGTAATACTAGCTGTTCCCCGCGACTTCGCCTGCGTATTAATTTATGACCATTAGATTTCATGGATTTTAATTTATTTGTGTAGAACCCTAATTATTCCTTATAACACCAGTTATCTGCCAGTGAAAGTCCCGTTAAAATACTCCATAGAGTAGGGAACGTCTCGGCGAAGCGGCATCGAACGGTTCGTGTATTGTATTTTTATACCTATTATACATTCTAAATTAAATATCCGATTTGAATAAACTACTGGTACATAAATACCCTTAATGATAAAACTATCTATTCAAATAAGAATTAATACTATGAAACTAACCATCCTAGCTACCACGGCTCCTATAAACTATTAAATATAACATAAATGTTTATAATAGAATAATTATATACAAATTAATTTGATAGAATCAAAGATGAAAATAGTAACTAGTTACAACAGTTACTAAACTCCAAAGAGACAGTATAATTCCTTCACGGGGCAACATATATCTATGCTTTTACAACAAAGTCCCAGAAAATATAAAACCTTATGAATCAGCTTAAATTTTTAGTAAGCTAAATTTGTTTAGTAAAGGTTATGATTGATGATAATCCTTGGGAATGAGGAGATTGCTACCATACTAATTTTATTCTATAAAAAATATTGTAAATTAATTCTATTCACCAAAGTCTCGCTGGGTTTCTAACTCGTTCTTCCCAAGACGGAGGCTTTTTCATATCTCTAATTTATAAGAGTGAAGAATTTTCATTGAATATAGACAATGTTTAAAAACTGTGGTAGCTTCTACTTACACATTCTTTTGAAAAAGCTTTAATACAAACATAATAACAAAATTAACTTACGAAAAAGATGGTGACACTGGTAATGGCGGATTTACTTGTGCTGGCTCAGTGGAAGGTGCGGGTCCTAAAGGGAGACTTGGACACTCCAACTGCTGTCCATGTTCATCAAACATGGCCAGTAACCTCATTGGAGTTATCGAAGTCCCCCTGCATATCCTGCTCCTGAAAAGCAAGTAAGATGAGATATTTTAGATACACATATAACATCTTTTTATGGTCATGAGTATGGATTGACCAGGATACCACTGCTGTCTTTTAATTAGTAAGTGAGAAAAACCAGAGACTTTTCATAGATGTGTTTCATGTTTACGTAATATGATAGGTGTAGATAATTTATAGGCTGTTTTAATACAAATGGTATATAAATATCAACATGTATATATATATATATATAGAGATCAGGCGCAGGACCAATGGCTGTACATGCTTTTCGAGGTACGGGGGTGAGACAGCGCCAACTTCCTGACTCTGGGCTGCTACTGGGAATTTCTTGACGGAAAAACTCATTAAATAATTTTACTGACCCAACCCAGAATTTGTATATAACAATTAACAATATGTTATATAAAATAACTTACAAAATTATTATGTGAAAATGTTTCTTCCCCTTCTTCGCTGAGATTGCCCTCGTTGAGTCACAGCATAAGATATCAAATTCCGCCATTTTTCTGAAAATGTATGTAGTACACACATGTGAACATTTTGTGTCTTCATGAAAATCGAAAAGAGTAAGAAGACAAAGTTTACATAGAAAAAGTTTCATATACAAAGTATCTTGGCGTTATGGTGGATCAGCGACTTTCCTGGTACAGACATGTTGAATTAGTATCAAGTAGAATTCGAAAGCTCACTTGGATATTTAAAACTTTAAGACATGTTGCCAGTTTAGATCTTTTGAATCAAATATATGTAGCGCTAGCTCAATCTATTATATATATAATATATTGTATACCAATTTGAGGGGGTACTTACAAAAGTAAATTTATTGAAATTGAAAGAGCTCAGAGATGTCTACTAAAGGTTATGCATTTTATACTGTACAGCTACTCCACTAGCTTTTTGTATGCATCAAGTGGGCTGATTTCGGTGAGGCAGTTGTACATATTACACACTGTATTGAAAAAACATAAATCTTTGGCTTTTAATCCTATTTACAGTAGTAAAAGAAGAAATTATAGCGTAGCTCCTATTTGGAGAATGAAAACCACCTTTGCGAAACATCAATATAACAAGCAATCAGAACATTTATACAATCAGATTAATAAAATATTGCAAATATATCCATTAAAGACATATGACTGTAAGAAAAAAATAATGCAGTGGCTTAAAACAATTACGATCAAACTGAAGCTTTATTACAATTTTTTTTTTTTGAAAAACGTTACCCCCACACTAGGATTTTCTCCTGTATCGTGGAGGCAGTTTACAAACACAAATTGCACAAGGACAAACATCCAGACCGGGAACAATTATTTGTAGGCCATACAAATACTTGTTCCGTGCGGGATTCG